TGCTGGTGATGTCTTTTGTTTATTATTAACATTATTAAGCGGGGTTGTTGGAATTGACGATCCCATATTCAAACCTTCTAAACTAAGAGCGGCTGCAACTTCAGCCATTTGACTTTTAATTTTCTCAGGCTGAATTAAAAAAAAAAGAAAATTAACGTTAATCAATAATAATTTAACTTGATCGAAAATTACGATACCTACATCAACTTTACCGCTACGCAGTTCAGCGATACCGATATGACCAGTATGTTGAAAGTTGGAAGGAAGACCAATGAGACCTTTATGAACTTTCTTCGGTCTTTTAACAACTTTAGCTTTTCTAGCATTATCCTTGGGAGAACTAACTTCATTAATATTTTCGTGAAAACGGTTATTGACAGTTTTATTTGTTGTTTGCGAGTATGTTGCAGAACTAACACCAACATCTCGGTTTGTTTGTTTTTGTGAAGAAGAGGAAATACAACTACCCATTATGAATTTCTGATGGTGAATATTACGTTAAAATAAGAAAAATGGTCGTTGAAATTATTAAAGTTTTAGTCCGTGAGAAATTTATTTTTTTTTTTTTTTACTTTACAAGTGCAACAAGCGCCGTTCATTTAAATATTAAAAGTAACACGATTTCAATGTTTCTGAAGTTTCTAAAGAACTTTTTGGTAACGGGGTTTTACACTTGAATTAAACTTAATTTGGAATAGAAATCAAGGAGATGTCAAAAACTATTAATATTACGCGTAAATCATTGGACGTTTTAATCGTAAATTTTCCAAAAAGGAGTCGGAACAAAGTTACATGAAGCAACAGCCAATAATTTCTTTGTTCCGAAGCGTTATGATGCCTTTTGTTTGTAACCTGTGGATATTTGTTGTGAAGATCAAAAAAATATTACCTTTTATTATCATCGAAAAAGTCATGGCGTAAAAAAAAATTAAAGTTGTTGTCATTTTTCTTTTTTTTATTTCCTTTTTTTTTATGACCATAAATTTAATGGGGTTATAGAAAGCGTGCCAGCATGATTTACTAATTTCCTTAAAAAGTACATAAATGCATGACACATAGTACAAAACCAATATTTCAAGTTCAAATTGTAATTGCAGAATTTACCGTGAGAAAAATCGCAGCCCTTTTTTTAATTTCTTTTTTTTTTTTTCTTCTTTTCACTTAACTAAGGTTAAGTTTAAACAACAAAGTGTTCGGGATAAGATTCTTAGTTCTTTTTTTAGACTTATCTTAGAAGTTGTTGGCAGTACAGAAAATTGCATTTACTAATTTACCCCAAGCTCCGATTGGCTGGTATAATTGAGGTTAGGGTTAGGGTTAGGTGGTTTATCACCGGCGTGACACTGGGAGGGACTTGGAATTTTTTTCGGTGGGTTATGCTTATTTGTCACGCCATCGGATGTTATAAATAAGCATAATAAATTATACCAGCCAATCAGAACTTGGGTAAATTAGTAAATTCCAGAAAATTTGGGGAATATCCCTGCTTAATAATAGGAAATCATGTGATAATGATTGGTAATACTGAGATTTTTGATTAAATATACAACGATTTATAATTTTTGATTGGAAATAAATTTTACTAATAAATCGCTCTAATTTAAATATAAATACCAGGTCAGGTAAAGTTTCTTTAAAAAAAAAAAAAAATTTAGTTACAAAAAATAATCATTTATTTTAGACAAAATGCCTGGCAAAGTAGTTGTTCGACCTTCGGAGGAACGTGGATATGCAAATCATGGATGGTTGGATACTCATCACACATTTTCATTTGCAAATTATTATGATCCAAATTATGAAGAATTTGGAGCGTTACGTGTGATCAATGAAGATATTGTACAACCTCAAAAAGGTTTTGGAACCCATTCTCATCGTGAATTTGAAATCTTCTCATACATCATTTCTGGTGAATTAGAGCACAAAGATTGTAAGTGTTTCATTCCGATATATTTATTTTATTTATTTGAAAGATTCAACGTTAATTTGTGTCTTTTGATTCAATTAGCAATGGGAAATTTAGAGATCCTTAAACGTGGTGACGTTCAATTTACAACGGCTGGTACAGGGATTTCCCATTCAGAACATAACGTTCATAAAACTCTTCCAGTTCATTTCTTACAAATCTGGGTAAAACCCGATAATCCAAAACTCTCCCCAGCCTATCATACAAAAACGTTTTCCGAGTCCGCTAAAGAAAATAAGTTGGTCCGAATTATTTCTCCGGATAAAAAACACGTTCCGGATACAATTGGAATTCACACAGATTTTCATATGTATGCCAGTTTATTAGATCAGGGAGCAAAGGTTACACATAAAGTTCAAGGAAATGCTAATGACGGAGATAATAAAAGGAAATTATATATTCACGTTATTGAAAAGGAGGGGATGAAAGTTTTAATTAATGGAGAGAGTTTATTGAAACATGGAGACGGTGCTTTTATCACCGAAGCTATTAGCGGAGATGAAATCATTTTTGAATCCGTTGGCAATAGAACTGCCGAATTTGTTATTTTTGATTTAGTTTAACTTTTTAAAAAAATTTAACACGTTTATTAAGATATGTATATATTCTAATTCCATTAATAATTTAAAGACGTTTATAATGATTTTTCGCTTAAGTTAGGTTCCATTACTGAAACCCCATTGAAGTTTTTCCATTTCAACATTTTCAATAAAATCGACAACGTTTACATCTTTTACATCATCAATCAATTCTTTATAAATTTGTAAACCAATATCAAATTCTTCCTCTTTACCCACGGTATGATAAATAATTTTATCAATGCCAGCTAAATGAGCAGCCGCAATTTGTAAACAAGACATGATTGAAACGTTACCACCATAAGCGCCACATCCCCAATTTCCAGTGTGGATAATCACTCTAGGTTTTTGTGTACTTTCATCATCTTTAAGTTTAATATTAGTATGCCCTCCTTGATCTTCTTCATGAATTCTTTCAAGAATTCCGTTCTCAACCAAGCTTTCAAATTTAGCGGCAAGAAAACCCGAATAAGCAGCAACTAATATTTTTTTAATATTCTCGATGGTATAACTACCTCGACCATATTTTGGAGCTTCGATTGCGATAATATTAGAATAATAAGGACGTCCTGTTCTTTGATCAATCCTTTCATCAAATATTGTGGTAGCTAATTTAATTGCATTAGGTGACGCTTGTGAAAAATGATGTCCGTATAATCCATATGGACGTTCGTTTCGTGCATCAGAATTTGTCATTATTTTCACTTTCCTTTCTACCCCTCTAACTAATATTGGGGTTGCTACGGTTGAGATATCACTGGATGAATGTTTGGTAAGATTTGGATACGCGGTTGTAAAATGCGCTTGTTGATCTTTATTCTTTGCAAGGCAAACTCGTAGTGAACATAATGCGGGATGCTCTAAACATTGGCTCTCATCTTGCGCAAATAAATTCGTTCCATAATATCCGAACACATCACTATCCGCAAAATTCACATACCAAACTACTGTATTATCATCTTCGGGTGGTGAATAATCAAATACATCATTGCTAACTTCAATTTCCAATTCAATTTCTTCCTCGCTTTTAAATGAACTTGGTAAAGGAAATTCTTCCCACCTCGTATATTCTAATTTACCATGAAATGAATCGGATTTTTTGGGTGTAGCTAATTCATAAACTAATTTCTTATTTTTACAAAACCATTTTGGTGGATTATCTCTTACTAATTCATCCGATTTAAATGATTTATGATGGGTTAAATGTCCGTTTATCACATTTTTGATTTCATTTAATTTGTTATAATTTAGTGTCATTTTCGAAAGGAAATGGTGGATTTTCGGAAAAAAAAAAAAAAAAAAGGATTATACCGACGAAATTGTAAAAAGGAACTCAAAATATATTTTCATTGTTTTTTCATTTTTTTTTACATGTGGGCTGATTTTGTTACCAGAATCACCCCAATCACCAAATGTGTTTTGAATGCATGGCGCAGGTAACTATGATGGAAAAAATTATCTTTTTACATCTTTTTTTTTTTTTAAAAAAAAAAAAGATTGAACAGATATGATATTTAAAATAGAATCTGTTAAGAATAAATCAATTAACGAACTGATATTTTTAATTAAAAATTAATTTTATTTATATGTTCGTTTTATTTAATTAATACTTTATCAATTATTTATTTTAATTATAATAATAATATCAAGATAAAAAGTAATTAAAATTATTAGAAAAATGATATATAGACATTAATAGCATATTAAAAAAAGCTAAATATATAAATATATATACATTGTTATAATTGAAATATACCAATTTTATATTTATCAAAATTTTTATTAGATTATAGTAAATAAATTAAGTGTTAAAAAACTTACAAATTTTTTATACAAATTTTTTTTCTTTTTATAATTAATAATAATAAATATTTTATTATATCTTTTATATAATAAACTTGTAAAAATTTATTATCTTTAGTTGAAATAATAAAGTTAAAAAAAAAAGTCTTAATTGTTATTATTGATTATTATAAAATGAATTCATAAAATATTTCTATTTTTTATTATTAAATCTTAATTTTAATAATAAATTTTTTTTTTATAATTTATAATATATACTAAAATGAAATATAAATTATAAATTGAATTTATATAATATACTTTATTTAATAAAATTATATATTTTTTGATGATAAAATATTAAAAATATAATCAGATTTTTTTTTAATTATATTCTATATAGTCATATCTTTTTATAAATATAGTATCTTCCTATATAGTCATCTCTTATATAGTAAAATAAAAGTTGAACATAATAATTATTTAGAGATTTTCTTTTATATAATCTTTTTATATGATATTAAATCTATTAAAATAAATGAAAATAAGTGATAGATATGTTTTATGAATTTTGATTATATCATAAACATGTTTTACAAATTTGCAAAAAAAAATAGAACCTTTATTAATATAAACATAAAAAAAAAACTGTAAATATATATCAAGTAATTTTTATGTAATTTAAATAAATATTGTATTATTTTTTAATACAAAATATAGTTATTTAAGTATTAATAGAATAATTATTAATAATATATAACAAAAACAGAAAAAGTAATTAAATATTTAAGCAAGTTTTCAAAATTTATAAATATATAAATAACAATCTGTTTAAATTTTTATATTTGATAAAATTATATAAATTTAAACTTTATAAGTTGTAATAGCTAGAATTCCATTAATTGATAATTTATAAAGAAATTAAATATTAAAAATCAAATAAAATATGAAATAGATAAATTATAAATTTAAATAAGAAATAAACTTAAAAAAGTTAATTTTTTTGGAGAAATAAATAGTATATTACTTAAAAAACTTTTACAAGAAAGATTAAAATTATAAGTATTATTAAATAAATATGATAAAAAAAATATTTATAGTATAGATAAATTAACTTTTTTTTATAAATAACCTAATTAAATTCTTAGTATAAATGACATAAAAAAGTGAATTTATAAAAATTAAAATTTTAAATTTTATTTTAATTAATTAGCTAATGTATTATTTAATTATTTATTATTTATTAATTTAATTTTATTTAATTTACTTTATTTTATAAAATAAAAATCAAATTTCCATTTTTTTTGTACAAATATTATAAGAATTTATAAAATTCATTCTCTTATTATTGAAAAATTATTAAACACTTAATGTTTTAAATTTTTTAATAGATCAGCATTATTAATAAATTATACGTCTAATTCTAAAATATAAATAAAATCAGATATTTTTATTGAGTGATTAAATGATTTTAATTATATTTTTGCATAATAGATAAAAATTTTACTTTTGATTAATAATGTTTAGGAATGCTAATGATCATGATCATGATCAGTCATAACTGATTATAACTATGATAAATATTAGTCAGTAAAAGGCTTATGACTAACTAATTCTAATTGATTTTAACTAACCAGTTGACTAATTGACTTGAGATTGAACTATTATATTTTAAATAGTAAAAATACTTATATTAAAATTAATAAAATCAATATTTTATTTTAATTATCTATAAATTAAAATTTTGAAATATTAAAAAAATTAAGTCTATGATAATTTTACATCAATAATAAAATTACAGAA